AACTTGTGTTTGGTGCCCTGGCAAAAATCTTACCCAAGTGCAAAGTACTAAAAAGCATTGCTTAGCAAGCCCTTCTATATTTACATCCATAATACATATATATAGTGATACCAACATATCCTATCTGTATTTACTCATTGAAACTTCAGTCTGTATATGAGCCCACATAGCAGATTAGCCAAAAGAACAAAACCATTTTTACTGCAGTGAAACTGTGATCACAGCCCAATAAAGATATATCACAAGGAGTGTAAAAGTGGAAAAAGGACCTTATGAAATCTATTTCATACTGCATTTCATCATTTATAATATCAGTATGATAATTGTAATGTGTACTTCTTGTCCAACAGAAGTACAGAGCTGTCTATTTTTGGAATGAAAAATTCATTATCCGAAATTTACATTTTACATCATCTTTCTAAACACCAAAGATATCCTCTTCACCATTTATACAGTTATATCTACATTGTACATACCCTTGACAATGAAGTTTCCAATATTATACAAAAAAAGTCGCCAAGTCAAGGAAAATTACATTTTCCTATGATTATGGAATGCTTATAGAATATGTACATCTTTGGACTGCTTTCCCTTAAAGTAGCATGCCTTTGGTCCAAAATACCTAGCAATCCAGAAAACCTTTAAGTTAACAGTACATGAATCTAATTGCCAGAAGGAAGCACAATGATAATGTACAAAACAGCTCACCATCGATAACAAATTTTTTTCACCTTTTTTTGAATGTCAAAATCCTGATTAACTGTAGCTAAAAAATCCTACAAAAAGCTGCCCAAGTTTATTTGTAATAAATGGCGACAGCCTTTTACCCATGATCTTAAAAACATCTCCAATTAGTTTCCAAAAATGCTTTTCCAAGCAAAAATGCTTAAAAACCCTTTAAAAAAAACCCTTAAAAATTCCCATCAGGCCTCACCAACTTAATTTCTTGGTTAACGGATTTTTCTAGAAAAATAATGGAGCGGGTGGGCGAAAAAAAAATAAAAATAAAAACAGGCCTAGGCATCCTATTATGGTCCAAAATGGTACAATAGGAGCCATGAAGTCAACACACCAGGCTGGTTCAAAATTTAAACAATGAATTTTGAACTTTTAATGATACCATTGCATTGAAAGATGGAATAACTGTAACAACTAGGATGAAAAGGACTGTTTTCAACTGTTCAGGGCAAAATATGAGCATTTTGCAGTTGATTCTGAATTTTTATTTTTATTTGCAAATCAGAAAAAAATGAAGCGGGCGAATCCGTTAACCAAGAAATTAGATTGGTGTGGCCTCATGTATAGTAAAATTTTGCCGACCTTCCTATCCGTCACTATGACGGAATCTTTACCAGCTCAATAGCCTCTGTGTTAAAATCACAAGTCCCTAATTTCTTGTGTGCTACAGAAGACTCAGAGTCTGACAGGCTTTCTTCAGGCACATCCATAGCAGCACTTTGTGAGCCTACCTCCTTCATCTCACTATCTACATTGTCTTTTTTGCAGCATTTTTCTGTTTGTTGCAAATTATCCTCAACTACACTTTCTTTCACTTCCATGTCAACTTCCTGATTCTTCTGTTCTTTTTCTACAAAGTACTCAACAACTGTCTTGACCACATCTCTCCTTTTTAGTGTTTCATCACAGTATTGGAGAAGCTCCCCTACTGTTCTGTTTGCATTATTTTGGATCACCTTTTGTAAGATTGCCCTCAAAGGCGAATCTTTGCCACCAAGTTCTGTAAACTCTATAAAGCCCAGTTCTTCATGCGTTAGACCAAAGTGGCTCCCAATATTTCTGTAGTGCCTGTCAGACTGCTCTAGCTTTATCCTAAGATTATATAACAGATCTTCTTCATTCAGGATTGCTTCCAAAGGCAGTTGATGGATACCTGAAATAAAATGATATTAATAGTTATTGCATCACAAAATCAAGCTACAATGTACTTAAATAAATCTTTATTTAACAGACAGATGATAAAAGTTGTGGGTAAAGAACTTGGGATGGAGCTAAAGCTGAAGTTGTGTTTATGAATGTGCCACTAATAGTAAAATAACCAAAACATATTTACACAAAATGAATTTTAATAACATGTATAAATAAACAGATAGAATAGTATAATGATGTGAATTAGCGGGAAAGTTGCAAGATTAAGACTGTTCATTGAAAAAATATGGTTTAAGAATTTATGCATCCTACTAGTTCAGCTTATATCTTGAGGTCCAATAAGCCATTGCACATTACACCATTCGTTGTAAAACAAACAGATATGATGGACATGTCTTATATCAAATACAAAGTGAGCTTTCCCAACCAGCTCTTGAGGACATAGCAAGAATGTCGAACCCTAGTGGCACCAGACACGACAAGAGAACAGTGGTATTGTATGCATTGTAAAAGTTAGGCCTCTTCGCTAGTCATGCCATGCCAAAGTTCTTACCCTGTATCTGTCCGCTTGAGAAGCCCTGGGCACCTGAAGTACCAGGCCCTGCAGTCCGCGGCCTCTTCCTAGGTGTATTGTGACCGTCACTGTCATTGTCTCTTGGCCTACGACTAGGGCCAGGCAAGTCAACCCCTCCTGCAGCTGAAAATGAACAAAATGCATGATTAAGATTTTAGGCGGAAACTACCATACTGTATCAAAAATGAGAAATGAACAAATATTGTAGTTTAAGCTTAAATTCTGGACAGATCTTGAAAGACTGTCTATATTTTTTATGGGTTGACAACATATATGTTAGACTGCTATTAGAGCCAATAGAGAATAGTTCTGTGACTATACTTGCCAACCTTATATTGTTCTTTTTACACCTTTGTTACATGTACTATGCCTAAGCACTTTGTAATAGCTTTGGGGTTGGTTGTGTAGCTTGCCTGAATATTCTATAGACCAAAGAGTGGGAAAAAAATGTACCATCGTCCTCAATGATGACCAGCTCAGCTTGACCATCCAGCACCTCTCCCCCGGATGTTGTGACCTCACAGGTGTACACACCGACATCACAGTGCTGAACAGCTCTGTTCCAGTTTTGCACATGGGCCACACAGTCAACTTGCTTCGTCCACCTGAACTCACAGGTGCCAGGATCCAAGTTGTCTGGTAAGGTACAGCTGAAACGCACGTTCTGACCTGTATGAAACAAAAGAAACAAAAAGAAACATATTTAATTTCAATATAACTACAGACAAAATTCATTATTGAGAATAGATGCATTGGTGCACCCAACCTAAAAAATAAGGTACACAGATATTTTTGGGTGCACCATATATTAAAGATTAAATAAATAGAATGTCAGCAAAAAAGATAATATATTTTGCTCCAGTATTTTTTTGATTTTTTTATTTTTTTTTCTGACACTTAGATATTAATATGCTGTATACTATTATAATCTTTTAAGATTAAAACATCCTACGAAATATTTGTGTCCATAGAAAAAAATTGGGTGCACAGCTCGAAATTTGGGTGCACTAATGTGCACACTTGTGTCTATTAAATCTTATGCATTTTATCAAATGACTCTAGCAAAAACGTGGGCAAACGTAGGGCATCCGGCGTGGTGAGTACCACCTCCGTACGGAATCCTGCGGATTTGGGAGCACGCAGACACGCCGTAGAACTTTAAGTGCATGTAAACTTTTTCTACGTACGGTCTGCGGATTCACCACCCGTGCGTGCGAGTACGAGCGACGCGCGTGCCCCGTACTTGCCGTACGGAAGAAGCACGTGTGAGTACGGCCTCCTTACGGTAAAGTTGCAATCGCACAGAGATCGTACATTGTAAGCACGTACAACTCCCTTACCACTTGCGCAACGTACGATGCACGCAACCACTCACGGCCAGACTTGGCGTGCAGACCACACTCTTACACTTTGTCCAACCGTGCGAGTGACGTGCGAGTGACGTGCGTAGACGCCACTCCTTCCCCACGTTTTCAGAAAAAACGTAGTAGACGTAGCCTCTCAAAAAACGTACGGAGAAAAAGCACGTACGGCGGGTTGTGACCGTAGCTTTAATATCCATGCAGCACCAAATTACATGTAGCACTGGGACTCACACTGATACAACTCACCTAGTCTTGCAGGGTTTGGCAGGATGTTAACTCGGATGTTCTGCCGTCTCCTGTTCCCAACCCTACCATTACCTGCAATGAGTAAGAAGTACAGTTATACATGACATCAAGTTTTTAATCATGTGAACAACATATTTTAAGGAGATACATGTACATGTACAACAATTATACAAAAATGAATTCTTCAGTTTGGCATACATGTACACTGTCACATACCATTGCCAGGGGTCCCTTGACCCTGACCATCCATTCCTTGTCCTGCATTGTAATGGGAATTGTTTCCTTGGACAACAATGGTCACAGGGCCATTGAAGGTACCACCTGAAATGTTGACTGCTGGCTGCCCATTCTGTCCCCCTGGTTGTTGCTGGTTCGGCCTATTCGGTCCACCACCTATATTCCAAATAACAATATACTCTATTACCCAGCTGTTAAATATGCATTAATTGATTTTCAAACATTAATATATGTAAACTTTTTTTGTTTAGAACTGGAGCATGAAGAAACTTGAGGGAGGAGTTAAAAATATTGCTGCTAAATAATTTTTCTGAGCCACAGTTCTTCTCAATCATCAACCTCGGCAATTTTTAAATTCAACACAAGTCTTGCTGAATTTAGTTTCAAACCTCCTTGGTTTATCTAAAGGGCTACATAATGAGAACACATACATGTATATGTGGTGTTGCTGGTTTGGTCTATTAGGTGCACCATTATAAGTTATAAGTTATAAGTTATAAGCAGGAGCACAGCTGCCTTCATCAAGGTGAAATGAACTCTAATACTCCTTAAAGTAACATGTACACAGTCATTTCCACAGACATCAAATTCCAAACATCTCCGAATGTTTACATACTACATACATATCTATCAACAGTAATAATAGATATATTATGGTGGGACATACCAGTTGGTACTGCCTCTAGACCCTTTCCATCATTAGGGGGTCCCTCAATTCTCCCCGCAAAGCCCATGGTCTCTTCTGATTCTACTTCTGAAAATAGACAAATAAACAATCAAAGTTTGTCAAGTTCTCAACAGACTTCATGTAAATATCAACTGCAGAAGTCAACAAAAGTCTGAACAAGAGTATGAACTGTAAACCATATGCATTTACCTTTTGGAACTGTCTTCTCATTCTCGTTGTCCAAAGTCTCCCTATCCCCAGAATCAGTACTTTCTCCCTCTTGAGTACCTTCCTCTTCTGTGAAGGACAAGAAAGTAATATAATGAGATGATTCTGGTGCCCAAAACAGCAGTTAAAATATAGGCTGGATAGGCAGACATTATATATGACATATATCATGACAGATAAGAAAACGTGTATTTACTTTACCTTGGCCACCTTCTGAGTCAAGCAGTGAGTCTTTAGAGCTGCACTGACTGTCTCCTGATGTAAAGAGAACATTGAAATGTTACATGTCACATGTATGTAAGATATGGGGTACGTATACAAAGAAATAAAACTATTACAAGGCACATACATGTAGCAACAACAGCAACTGGTTCACACCAACTGTGAAAGCAACAACACCTTTAGGAAATGATGATACACAAAAGACAAAATGTTGGCGTGAAGAAAGGAATATATCTATAAAGGAGTACACATTAGTACATGTATTGATAACATTTGAGGAATGGAAGAAACTCTTGGGTACAATTATCTTAGCTGTTTACAAGAACATTGGGTAAAATATTAACATAAGATACAACATAATAAGCCAATACATGGCCCATTTACTCTTACGTTTGTCACTTCCTGCATCAGATGACTCATTGGACACGTTTCCACTGTCTGCACCATCTGAATTGTTCACTTCTTCATCTTGGCCTTCAGGGTCTATGTGGATTGAGAGTAATGGTTTGAGTCACATATCATGAAGACAGCATGACTATTACCTTCTTAACTAATCATGGGAAACTGAAGTATACTACAGGAACTTCCAGGATCATAGTTAGGTTTATATTCCATTCAATTGAAAAATCATTCATGTCCAATGAAGAGCAACAATCACCTGCATCTTTGGTACTTTCCAAAAGCCTTCCTCCTCCTCCTCTTCTGTCTCCTCCT